CAGGGCCTCTTCAGCCAGCCCCAACCCATCTTTTGGAGCTCACTCTTGTTGGCTTCCCTAGCTGCCCATTCGTAAAGATGCAGCCCCCCATCCCTGAGAAAATTTGGGACAAAACTTGGAACTTTTCATGGCCCGAGAAAACTTACAGATTTCCCATGACAACTGCCTCAAAAAGGGATGATCCTGGGAAAACTCAGCTGGGGGGCAACCTTTGTGGCCAAAAAGGCCAAAGAGGTGATGAATTTGAGCTCCTATCTCTGTCTCTGGGCTCACAGGATGGAGTCTGACCTCCCTTGCTTAGTTCCTTCAGGCTGTAAGTTGGAGCAGAGAAATCAATGAAGAGGCTTTAAGAGTGGGAGAGGTGAAATTTTGGCCATAAGTGTGATTTTTTTGGAATCAGAAACCCAGGGCCAGAGTCTCAACCATGGGAGCACACATTCCTCATGATAGCACAGGGCCTGTTAGAAGAATACATTCACAGAGGCAAAGACCTAACTGTCATGACAACTTCAGGTAATAATGTGTCCCAAACAGACACACAATTGCATTGTCAGCTTTAAAAATCTGGCTCCTCTTTTTGGTAGAAGAGATTAGCAATCCCTATTGTGTTCAAGCGCCTGGCAAGCAACTATATGTACCTCATTGAAGTGCAAATGAGTCCTGCCACTAAGCCCAGGATAAGAATCCCACACAGGACAGCCACAATGATAAGGATCAACAAGGTATCTGGAAAGAGAGAGATTAAAAATTCATAGCAAACACGGCACACAAGGGAAGCTAGCCTTTACTATAACAAGAATATATTTGGGCGCCAAATAAATGTTGTCTCATCAAAACGTATCTGTCCCTCAGACTATGACTCTGGAGCAGTTCTCATGAGATGGCCACCATTCTGCTCCAGAGTTAAAAGCATCAGCTGCTATAGCTTGAGCTAAAGCCCAGGGAGAACTGGAGCACCTCAGATCTGCTGTGAATCTCCAGAGGGGGACCCATAATCAGTGGCATTGGAACTATTTTTGGGGTGGGGGTGCTGAGCGGCACCCTCCTTCCTTTAGACCTGTTGAGATCAGGTTTCGAACTGTCTCGAATTGGACTCCATTGCTGCAAATGGCATGTGGTCTGTTCAGTCTGGGAGAATTGGCAGCCCCTCAGCATCCCAGGTTGGGGCCACAGCTGGGGGCAGCTGCAGAGACCTGGGACAGCAATGGGACCCTGGGACTGGTGGCTAGCAGAGCCCAGAACAGGGCCACCAAGACAATGTGGGGGGGGGAGGGGAAGAGGGCCATTGGAACGCACAGCAGGGGAGACCAGAATTTGTCTTTAAATTCATAACCTTCCTATGATATTTGAGCCTCTTTTAAGCAATTGGGTTTCTTACTAGTTTTAGAAAAGGCACTAGAAGTAAGAACCCCAAAACCTTCTTAGCAAAGTACACACAGAGCATTCCACAGGGCCACAAATTTCTTCCTTGTATAACGCTGTGCTTATTTCTGACCTGCTTTTCTGTGCTGCGTTAAAACTATTCGCTATTTCCCTAAATGGTCAGGAAAGTCTAAGAGCTGCATAAATACTCAGGTTAAACATATACCAATTTAAGACTACAGTGTGAGTAAAAGGAGTTGAAACATGCTCCCTGCACTGAATTAGACTTCAGTGAGTCGCAGTGAGTAAACCAGTTATAAGGCCACTGCTATGTCTAAAATTGCAGGAAATCGATGCTACAGTGTCGATCTGCCGGTGTTCAGTTTAGCAGGTCTAGTAAAGATCCACTAAATAAACTGCGGATAGTGTCCCTATCAGTGCCTATACTCTTCACTGTCTCACGGGGTAAGAGAAGTCCAGGAGAGAGTTTCTCCCATTGACCTCCCACTGTGGGAACAGCGCCAAAGTTCAGCTTAAGGTACGTCGACTCCAACTACGTTATTTAGGTAGCTGAATTGAGTACCTTAAGCTGACCTTCCCCTCTAGTATAGACCTGGCGTTAGTGTGAAGTTCTTCAGCAAATTCTATCCACACAGAATGAGACTCTAAGTACAGTCTCTGATAAGGAAGACGGGGACATTTCCCTCACAACATCTTCCTATCCTGCAAGGTGTTGAAAAATGGGAAACCCTACAAATACAACCTACAAGAATGAAGGAATGCAATCTGTTTAGCTATCAAAAAGAAGATCAAAATATATTTTAAATATAATGTATTGTATAAATACCTTCCTGAGGACAAAATACAGGGCACTAAATGACACTTTGTCTTCTACATTAAAGATGTAAGGAAAACCAGTGGATGAAGCTGAAGCTAGACAAATTCAAACTAGAAATAAATGCACAAACGATGATTAACTATTGGAACAAATTTACTACCAAGGGAAGTGATGGATTCTTCATCTCTTAGGGTATGTCTAGACTACATGCCTCTGCCGACAGGAATAAGATTTACCAGAGCAGTCGACAAAGGCTTCCCCTGGCAACCGATCCACACTGCGCTGACAATCAGCTGATCCGGCACAGAGCGGTGACCATTTTTATTTTAATGAAGCCCAGGATATTTAAATCCCCGCTTCATTGACTACGTCGGGTAGCCTATTTTACATGCCTCTGTTGGCAGAGGCATGTAGTCTAGACATACTCTTAATGCCTTCCAATCAAAACTAGAAGGTTTTTTGAAAGATGTGCTTTAGCCATACAGAAGTTATTGGGCTCAATGGTGGCAGAATTGGATGAAATTTGATAGCCTGTTTTCTATTTCCAGGAAGAAGTCAAACTAGCTGACCTAATGTTTTCTCTTGGCTTTAAAAATCTATGATGCTTTCCTCCACTTGGCTTCAAGACTCTCACTTTTTACACTCACCCTTTCCTAACTTTTTATTGTGGTTAACACATGTAAACATGTGTTTACATACCCATATGCTACTAATGTTTATTCTGTTATTGCAGTGTCTGTTCTGCAGGTAAAGTGTTGCTGGAAATCTTTCCATGTAATAAGTAAACATCAGAAACTCTTGTACTCACTGTTGTTACAGTCTACTCCAGAGAAGCCCACATTACACCTAAACAATAGTTTTAAAAAAATGGAAAATTAGTTCATGCTATTCAGTAGAAGTTGTTCGTGAAAAAATGGAACATTCCCACCTGCCACAATCTTCCCTCATTGATGGGTTTCATCTTTGTCTTCCTCATGGTTTCTCCTCATCCAAATCCCATGAGAAACTAAATCTCTGTAGCTTCTGTGGGGCAATGTAAGTGAGGAGAAACCATTGAGGAACGCCAGCTTCCTAAATAGGAAAATGTCTTTGATCAAGATTTTTAGCAAAAGCTTATCAGGTAGTCAAGTGGAGTATCAACTACTAGCTTTCTTCCCCGCCCCACACTGACTCTATGGGTATGTCTAGACTACAGAGTTTTTCCGGGATACCGGAATGCATCTGCTTTTCCAAAAAAAAAAACTCAAAAAAGCAAACGCGGTTTTTTGGCATACCTGTAAAACTCATTTCACTAGGAAGAAGGGATGTTCCAAAAGAGGTTTTTTTCCCAACATTTGGCCCCGTGTAGATGGGCCAAATTTTGTAAAAGCCTCTTTCAAAAGAAAAGTGGGAAAAGATATGTAAATTGCAATTTGCGTATCTTTTTCCAACTTTTCTTTGTTGTGTAGACAGCCTATGAGAGGCAGCGGGGGGCAGGGGAAGGAGAACAAGGGCAGATTCTGGGGGGAGCCAGCTTAAAAGCTGGTTCCCCCAGCACTGTCTCCACAGTTCCATCGCCGCCCCTACCCCCACTGCCTTTATCAGAGGCAATGGAGGTGAGAGATGAAGGGGAGGCTGCTCCAGCAGCAGCCTCTGTCCGCAGGGGTCCCAGCAGGGAGCTGGGCCCCCCCACAGACAGGGGCTGTTTGGCAGCAGCAGCCCCTGTTCATGGTGGCCTGGGCTGGCTGCGGGCAGGGGCTGTTCCAGCTCTTACTATATTTAAAATACAGAGGTGCAGTGCCCTGGACCAGAGCAAGCCGGGACTGCTTGGTCCCGGTTCAAGCAGGCTCCTGGAGCCACCCCCACTGTGACTCTGCAGAGCAGTCCTATCGACAATCATGTAGTCGATACAAATTGTATCAACTACAGGATTAGCTAGGGAACTGCAAATTAACATCCTTAGCCCAACTTGCTACATCAGAATGCGCTGAGCACTCATCTATGAAAATCAAGCCCCTATAGGCATCTCTAGGTGAGTACCCAAAAATGGAAGCACACAGGTCTGCCATGAATTTGAAGCAGTGTGGATCAGTCTTTGTTGGTTACTTAACGACATTTAATTTATGCACCTTAGGGTTGATTCTAAAGCAGTGGTGAGCAACATGAGCCCACTGCAGCTCCTGTGCCTCTGGCCCGCAGACTCCCCTATCTGCCTGCGCCTCTTGTGCACTCAGGCAGTGAAGCTCCACACTTCTTATGCCTCCCCCCTTGCTCCCAGCACTTTTAGAGCACACAAATCACCTGATTCATGCTCCATCTGCCCTCCTTCCCGTCCTCTCAGAGCTGGAATGCTGCAAATCAGCTGTTTACAGCATTCCAGCTTTGGGAGAGAACGGGAAGAGGATGGACCAAGCACGAATCAGGTGATTCGTGTGTACCAAAAGTGCTGGGGGGCAGACAAGCAGGTAAGCATGGGGCTCCAGTGGCTCAGTGAGTGAGAGCCACATGGGGGAGAGGAAGCAAATAAGGGGACTGTGGGGCCACTGAGGTGAAGGAGGGCCACTCATGCGGCCCACCCAATGTTTCAGGTTTCCCATCCCTGTTCCATTCAGTTTTAACTATGCTGTTGCCTTATCTTGACAGAGCAAAGGAAGGAGCTGACTACTCACTTCACACATTTTCCATCTTTTTTGTAGAAATCAGGAAGGCATTGGCAAACTGGAATGCTGTTATTCGCAATACAATGCATGTGGTTGTCTTTAGAACATGTGCTCTCACAATCTACATTTTCAATGGAAAAACAGAGAGTGGTTTTAAAGAAAGTCTGAAGATGGATATTCTGCTATAGAGGCTTAATAAGTCAATGTGATAATGCAAATGTTTATATTTTTTAGTTAATACAGAAGAGTGGGACAAAAGTGCATAATTGTTTTTACAGTCCCTTTATAAACTCTCAGAATTCTGATTTGCCCCTATGCTGCATTATGTGTTTAAGAGCGTACAGCATGATCTTTTAATAAAGACAGAGAGAGAGAGAGAGAGAGAAAAGAAAGGTAAATACAGGCAAAATAGCAGAAGAACAAGAATCACCGCTTGGATCCGAACAGTCTGCAGCCTTGTCAACTCTTGCAATTTTACCATGAGTTTTTGCAGTATTTGGTGTTTTCCTTAAATTCTCAGCTCTTGGCAGCAATTAATTATGTGAGAATCTCAGCTAATAAAGCATGTTTCTAGTGCTTGTGCTTATGAAAAAAGGCTTGAAAACATGAACTGAATGTTGGTTAAAGATTCCTAAATAAGATGGCAAATAGGAACCCGCAATTTGTTAGCTTCTGAAATCCACTGTTGATTTTTGAATGCTTAGTGTTGGCAACGCTGTCTTGTGTAGCAGAGCCAAAAACAACATATGTCAGCACAAAGCATATGTATCTAAAGGCAGTAAATACCACCCTTAAAAACCCAGGGGCAGCAGGACAGCCAAACCCTATAGGGAGGATTAGGGGGAGCTGGGCCATCAGTTAACTCTGGTGAGAAAATGGGCCAATCTGAGTCTGAGGAGGGCTTTAGGCCCCAAGAAAACCTGCAACCTGTCAGTGAAAGTAATAATAGGGAGCCACAGAGGCATGCCAGAAGGAGACAATATTTTATTTAATAGGTCTTGTCAAATAACAAAGACCTGCTGTTTGTAAACCACTGGTATGGATGATCAGGCTCCCCATTCTTTCAAGCCCAACAGTCAAGGTAGATTAACTCCTGAACTGTTTGCCAAGAGAGTAGATTGTCTACCCAATACTCAGCTGGCCACGTGCTGCCAATATTTTAACAAAGGGCTCTCATGAAAATCCCTTAAATATGTGAATCTTCCCCCCACTGATTTCAGTCACAATACCCATATGTTTTAAATCACACATGTGCTAAAGCACTTTGCTAAATTGGGATGCAATTACTCATGTGGTTCAAGTTAAACACGTGCTTAAGAGTGCAGTTTAATCTGGGCCCTAGTGTCTGATTTTTAGCACTGCAGATGGTGCGGGCACAGAGAGCAAGCAAGTCAGAGTGGAGATGGGGAGGGGAAAGCACAACTCATTAGGAGGGCTTACGATGGCCCCAAAGCTCTCACTTGAACAGGTTTTGTCTGCTGCTTTCTTCTTAGACAATCCTGGTTTGCATTCACACACTGGCACCCCGCTAGTGTCGTTGCAAGTAGCAGTTGTCTCATCACAGCCATAAATGACACAGTGTGTAAGTGCTGAAAAGAAAATTCAATTTGTCAAGGACTGATCACAAAGGACAATCCGCAGTTAGCAGCAGCCCTTAATACAAAGCAGTGTGCAGGTTTAGTGACCCATGTACTCTATAATCAGTGTTTCTCAACCTTTTTTTTACAAAGTACCCCTTTAAAAAATGATAAGTACCCCCAGTACCTACAGTTTTCAGACACACAAATTTTTTTTCTACCATTGCAACACATTTGTTTAAACAACTTAATCATAGCCAGGTGGGCGATGAAATTTTTGGGTGTAAAAAGTACAAAAATAATAAAGTGCTATAAAACTTAAAACAAAAATTCCATTTTCTCCAAATTTCAGTTGTGTTGACGTACCCCACAGACTTCTCTCAAGTACCCCTAAGGGTACTCGTACCACTGGTTGAGAAACACTGCTCTGTAGTCAGTGTTTCTCAACTCTGTTTTCAGCTTATTTAGGATACATATACTCCTGCTACCTTGCATTAGCCCTTACAGCATTGATGACCTTCCCATTACAGGGGTTGGTCTCTCATCTCTTCCTACCTACAAAGGCCCAATCTGCCTCCCGGCAGCCTTGCCTTTCTGAGTGCCAGCCAGGGAGGGTGATGGTCTGCCAACACTTTAGCAAAGAGCTCTTGTGAAAATTTCTTCCTTCAACCCCATTCAAAACATGGCATTCTCCCTACTGCCCTCCCATATGGGGAATTGCACTTAGTGGAGACTACTGAGCATACATGTAAGTACTTGCAGGCAGAGGGGGCTGTGCTCTGAGTCATGGGGGCAGGAGCGGTGTGAGGGGGAAGTGTAGGAGCAAGACAGGGGGACACAGCAGGGGTTGGGTCTGCCCCTGCACTCACCAGCAATAGTGGGAAGCGAAGCAACCCAGACCCAGACCCAGCCCACTCTGCTTTGCTCTCCCCAGTTCCCAGAGTTGCCTGGGGGAGGGAGCTCA